TTACTGAGGGTGCACTCAATCCCCTCATCCAGATCATTGATAAAGATATTGAACAAGACAGGGGCTAGTATCATCTTGCCACGTATTTTCAAAACTTGTAATAATACATTTTGTGGATGCTTTTGTCTACCTCTCAAGCTCCTCTCCTTTCATGGATACTTACCTACGTTGCAGCAGTAGCGACATTAACTGTTTTACTGTACTGAGGGTTCTGCATTAATCCAATTTCTCACTACTGCAGTATCCTCCTCTTTTTTTATTATTATTTATTTTTACATAATATCATAATTAAAATCTAATAAACAAACACAGTATTCATGTGGCTTAGCCTAAAGCAATTTCAGCCAACTGCTGTTGAAGGTCAACTACTTAACATCTGAATGACCAGAGGTTGAAAAGTTCTTCTTCAAAAGTGTAGTAGTAGAAGGCTCCAACAATTCAAATTTTTGCCCCATGATGGATTTTATATATTTCTGTACACTCACTGCGATTTCTACCTACCAAAAAGAATGTGAAAAAAGCACTATTGTCAGAATAATTCGTAACATCCTTCTTACCTTCTCAAAGTCTTTTTCTGGCCTTTCCTCAATCTGTAAAACATAGATTTATAAGGAATCGTTAGATAATAAAGGACAAGCGAAGGCAGTAAGATATCAGAAAGGGAATTCTTAAACCTGTAAAAGGCTTTTCATTAGCATTTTCTATCCACTTAAAAAGCAGCCAGCTCGCTCAGAAGAGCAGTGTCCTGGCTGGCATCTCAGGGCACAAGGCTGGACAATTCACCTCAAATTTCTAAGCAGTACGTAATTAAGTGGAATATACGTATTGATTAAAAAAAAAAAAAACCACAAAACAAACACAACTATCTAGTCTATTAAATAAGACAGGAATACTTTTTTTCCATATTCTACATCACAATGTTTCAAACATGAAGATGGCATTTGATCTATGAGTTAACAATGCAAGAATACAAAGACCTACATGGGCATGAACTCAAAGCCCCAGATGTCTTTCCGTGGACATAAAAACAGCTGTATACAAGTGCTGTGCTGACATATGCACTTATTCCTATTTTAGAACAATTTAAAAATATGCCCCAAAAACCCCAAAATAGCAATTTACTTCTGTAGAGAGGTTAAGTTTTTAATTGAAAGATCAAAAGGTTTCCTGACCAAGATAGCTTATCGAAGCTACAGTTTTATGGACCTTAATTAAAATAAGCTATCTCTGAAGCCTGCCAACATATCCTCCCCCACTCCAAAGAGCAAGGTACCAAGTTAGACTTGAAGGACTGTACTGTGTCTGCGCCGCTCCCAAAAGAATGGGGAAAAAAAGAATAAAAAAAACTCTAAAAGCTTAAAACCCCCGCTAAGTGTTCTCCGCTCAAGACAAAAGGTGACTATGACTTCAAGTGAAGATCCAAGTAAAGCTGAGACTACAAAAACTGACCCTCAAGTCAAATATCGGGGCCCAGTTCAAAGTCTAAATAAACACCCCATTTATAGTTTCAGTACTTCACTGGAATTTACTGATTCAGAAGAAAGATCCTGCACTAAAACTAGTCTAGAAGAAACAAATCAGAGCCGAAGTAGCATTTAAGAGTACAGAAAATTACCACAGACAGAGACAACTTAAAAGCTTAAAAGAAAGTTACAGGGCAAAAACCCATACAACCTGGACAGATTTTTTTTTTCCTTGATGGGAACAATCCTATCATGTTTTCCTGCTCTGAAACCGAACAAGATATACAAGTTCCCAAGAGCAGAAATTTAAAATCAAGTGTTTTGTCATGATTCACTTTGCTCTTGATAAGTATCTCCATCTAAAACGGATCTAAGTGTAAAAGGACTACATGAAAGGAAAAGCTCAGCAGAACTCAGAATGTCCAGAACATGTCAACTTCTGGAAACATTCAGCATCACAGTCAAAATGTTTCCCCAAAAGACTTCTAGAAAATTAACAGCTTCCCCAGATCAAGAGCCTGAGTCAAAGGGAGTAATTTTTTTGAAACAATTGGGGGAAAAAAAAAATAAAATCAGGAGAGACCTGTTTCAAGGGAAGGTAGGGAATAATTGAGGTTCAGTTGATAAATTTCATTGAAAATGCACTCAAAAACTCCATCTCTTTCCAATGAGTTCACATTTGGCATAGGTTTTTTTCTTTGAATTATACGGAGCAACATGTGGGTAATCTCACTTGTTATTCTTCATATTACCCATGGTACCCTAGAAAAAAAAAACCACAACCCAGAACTGAGAGGTATCTATTACAAATCAGCTTTTTACACTGACAACACATCTCACATCATAAATTCCCTATGATTAGCATTAAGAAAATTTAAGACTTAGGCTTCAAAGTAAAATAAGCCAGACTTAAAGCACTAGACATAAACTTTGCAAAGACACTGAATACACAGAGTACTTAGGGGAAAAAAAAAAATCTCTGAATTTGGATGCAATAAGAAAAGGTCACTAATGAAGGCAGATACTTCAGTTCAGACCCAATAAACAAGATGGACTGACTTTTGCAAACAGCCTATTGTTTTCACACCAGACAGTTCCAAGCGGTGTATTGGCAGCCTTCCAGCCCAGCCAAACACTATGTTGTTGTTTATCAAGACAGTTGTGGCAGTGTAAATATTGGCATGTTACCAAAGATTACTGTATACATCACCTCCCAACCCCCCAAATCTATCTCCAGAAATTTATGTACAGCCTTTTGCAAAGTCTACCTTATGGGTTCAGGGCACAACTCAAAATATTATTTGCCTTAAGCCATTTGCAGAATGTCCTCTATTTTCTGAAAAAATGTGCAACCTCAGTTTTTAATAAGATAAAGGGGGGAGCAAATTTTGATATTGTTTTCATGATGCAGCACAAGTCAAATAAAAGCTTCCAAAGGGGAAAATGTTGAAGACAATGTGGTGAGATATGCATACGGTGGACATTTCTACTCAGTGCAATCATAACCACACCTGTGAAGCTTGTTTTGCAATAAACATGCAGCAATCTTTAATAATTCTGAGACTTATGAGAGGATGCAGTCAAACAAAGCCTTTAAGAAGCTTCTAAAATTGGGGGTCATTTAAAAAAAAAAATACAGGAGATTTCTTTTTCCCTAGTGATGCCCTCATACACACATCCATTTGGTGCCATGAACGGAATACTCAGAGCATTGTCTCCTGAAAAACAGTAATTACCACTACCAATATACTTAATGTTTAAAAATTTAATCTGTTTTGAGAAAAGCCAGTTCCTCATTCTAACACAGTATCCTTTCATTACAGAGATGCCTCTGCTACACAACGCTTTTCTAAGCAAAAAGTCAGTCTGAAACAAGCAGCATTTAATTTTATGGTTACGTGGCTGTGATATACCAAAAGCTGTAAAGAGTGTCTTGTAGAAAGACAGAAGTCTATTTCAGATGAATATTTTATAGAGTTTTCATTCTGCTCATCTTTAGATTAATGTATTCACAGTATTACCCCTTTAAAAAGATATATCACGCCTTCCAACAGCAGTCAGCCACCAGAGGGAACTCCAGGTTTTCAGCCTTCACCCGGCCCCCAACAAGTCCTTTGGCATTTGATCCAGTAAGAAATCAAACAGAGAAAGGCCAGGAAAAAATGTTTATTTTTATTTGAAATTGCACAAAATTCTTGCCCGAAATACTTACCTTCTGTATTATCATTCAATAAAGAATACTGTAATGATTAAACAGACTGAAAACAACCTCTCCACCTTCACAGTACTATACTCAGCATAGCCCTTCATACAAATACACTGGCTTTGGGACTTTTCCACATGAAAATACAAAGGCCTAACAGAATACTTGCTAGAAGAGGAGATCTAAAGAGGAATTCATCCAATGATACTAGACCTTTAATTTCTAGAACATTATACCATTTTTCATTTCCAGAAGGGTATGGATCTGTCTCTAATACAGATTACCTTCCTCTTCACCAACAATTTGGGCAATTTGTACTTGAGTGCGTAAAAAAAGCAGGAAAAGCAAGTAATTTTCCAAGGAACTCCAGCACGCACATCTTTGTTTTGGCAAGGGGAATAGGTTGCTCTCTGCAAAATAAGTACAATGGGATCAGAGTTCAGCCTCTTCTGACAGCAATTCCAGAATAAATCCAGAGCCATGTTACAAAAATGTCAGCAATATCAGAGGCTTACCGCAGCTGGAAACTTAACAAGAGCAAAATCATCCCACAAGTCTATATATGGCTATATTGCCTATTTTTCATAGATAATAAAAATGTTTTAATATAATGTTTGAAAAAGTATTTCTCCCTACTTCACAGTCAGCTTGCAGGTTAACCCTTGAAGCTCTTTGCCAACAGTGAGTGTCCAGGCCAAAATTAGAGCCCCCGCAGCACTATCACAGTGCATCCAACAAGATGACTCTCAAACACCTACTGAAAAGACCAGAGACCCTGGGACAGTTAAGCATTACACCCCAGCTGCAAGTAAAGAGAAAAAATTATTCAGATCTTTAAATCGATGGAGGAATCAGGACTAAGACACTATTTCCAGCTTCCAGTCTGCTAAACAAGGCTAGAGACGAAGGGAAATATGAAATGCTTGCAGTTGGGTAGCACCGCATACCACCCTCGGGTACAAGAACAACTTCAGTGTGTTCAGTACATGGCTGTCACTGCTCAGCTCCATCTAAGATCTTGCACTTAGATCAACTTCCTCATAAAAGCAAGGGGGTTTTCTTGGTGACAAATCAAACTAAGATCATTTCCTGCTCTTAAAGTAGTACAGCACAGTTTGAAATGGAAATATGGCCCACACCAAAGAAAAATTCTTGCAATAGGTAGGGCTGAACACAGGATGTTATCTACAAAAACTGGAATTAAAAAACGAAGTACTGCAGTCAATATAACCCCTCCTACAATCCCCATCTTACCAGTCTGATCATCTGGGCTGGGGCAGGCAGTAACACAGAGGGTTCCTGCGTGTTTTTCCAATGAGAGCCACCTTAACACTAGCAATTATCAATAAGCCTTTAAAAGTCAGCAGGGGAAAACCACTGCTGAACTTTGTCAGGTCTAAAGTGGATTTGTCAGAAGTATCCTCGCTCAAGAATGAGTGTTATGCCAAACGTCATTGCTTAAACAAACTTATCAGTCTCTGAAATGCAAGTTAGCACTGCAGCAAATCCTCACCCTGGAGGGGCCGAAAGCACACCCAGACTGTCAGTGCCTGGGTTAGGATACAAGCCTACCGTGAATCTGTAAGGGTAGAGGAGGGAAGGCAAAGCTTGAGCACACTGATAACTGCTTCCACTAAAATTAAGTTTGACTGTCTTCATTTTATTGCTGGTGAGAACATGATAAGCTGCTTCAAATGAAAAGAGCTATTCACAACTGTGCATTTATGCATACCTGAGGACTGCACACTCTCTAAGTGGCACTTGCATTTTCAGTCTCACACTTTGTATGATCTGTGCTGGTACCAGCCCACCTGGCTAGGCTGCATGCTGACTGCTTGTGCCCGCCATCTGAGACTCCACAAGAAGGGAGAGAGTTAACACAAAAGATCATCTTCTCAGGGTAGTAAAATATGCCCTCTCCTGTTATTTTCCCTTCCTTTGCTCAGAAAATCTTCAGATAAATACTATCGCATTCTGAGTCTATTTCAAATGTATAAATAATTGCTTTTCACTAGTAGTTTATTAATTTTAAAAAAAAAAAGAAAAAATTCCAGCAATTCATATTAAAAAGCCCATCTCAGCCAAAACATGCCACTAGCTCAGCCACAAGATTTACCTCAATCTCTACAAATGGGCCTGATGTTTGCTCTCAGTAGCCTTAAGATCCAAATTTTATATCAAGTATAATGCTTTAATATTAAACATAACACATTTGCATATCTGCAGTAACTGCAAGGACAGCAGACAATAATTACTAGTGGGGATAATGGGAAAAATGTTTACTCACCGCATCAAAAAAAAAAGTCAAACAGCGAACTTCATACAGATATACTGAAGTCTTAAACAGAACATGTGAATATTTATTTGTCTTTGTATGTATTTTTAAGTATATCCCTGGCTTTTACTGTATTACAAACATCATAATACAAATGAGAACGCAAGCTGGCAAAGCTGTGCACAGCAGGAAACCTACTGTCGCTTTTTGATCACTGTTTGATGAACAGTGATAGAAGGGGGAAACAAAATTCTGAGAAAAGATTTAAGGGCTGCAGTAACAAGATATTGTACGCTTTAATTTAGAAAGTTAAATTGAATCATTCTCCATTCTCAATATGTAATTTCTCATGATAGTTAGTCAGGCTTGGGAACAGTCCAATTTTGTTTTTCTGCCTAATAATGCCCATAATCATAAGATAATCATATTTAACTTCAGTATTAAGCACTCGTGATCACAGTACACGGATTTTGTAAACTATCACACTCTCCAGTGACAAGCATGCTGGAAACTCAGCTTTTCAACCCAACAGACACTCTCCTTTCCTTCCTCCTCTGCCAGCCATTTAAAAAGTAAACTCGGAATCAAAACTTTACATGTGTAAATGCCAGAAGATATATAAAAAGCAGAATCAAGAAAGCATACGGCTCAATACATTAAGGCAGGGAACAACTCAGTTTGGGGGGTTAGCAGTATTAAAACAGTTCTAATATAGACTACTGATACAGACAAAACCAACCCCTTTTTTTGTCTCAGAAGTTATCGCCATTGTCCAAGGAGATTTTTATTCCTCCTTTAGGAAATCCAAGCAGATGACATTTCAGGAATGTACAAGTGGAAGCGATACACTGCTAAGCCCACTGAGAAGACAGGGCTCTATTTCAGCATCTTTACTGCCAAGATCAAGTACACAACTGGAAATGTTATCAAAACACCTTGAAACCTCTGTTAGTAAAAGGCAAGGCAAGTGATTCCTTACTGCAAGTTACAGGAAAAGGCATTGTCTGTTTAATACAGCAAAAAAAGGAAAAAAAAAAAAATTAAATCACAAGGTGCTGCTGTATTGACCCCGTGCAGCAATTAGAACTTTTAAGAGCAAGGCCACCCTGTTAACAAGGCTTGTACTACCTTGCATTAGGAGAAGCAAAGCCCCTGCAGTGGTGCCTTTTAGAGCCACTACAGTGTTAACTCTCAGCTCTTCTTCAAGGCCACGGAAATAACGGAAGCTCTTCACATCCTGCAATAAACCACTAATTTTTAAAAAATAAATAAATAAAGTGCCTGTTGTCTCCTTGCAGAGCAGATTCGGCTTGGCACCTCTCCAGTGTCGGTGCTGACACAGCTAACCATCTCCAGCCACTTGCAGATAAACAGTGCGAAGTGTAAGGAGAGAATTGAAAGACAAAAAATCCCCTATGCTTCCCAGGAGGGGCAAGCTGCATTTTGTGATGACCATAAGCAACTTGCACAAACGACTCAGGCTGCATACAGAAAACACATAATGGAAACCAACATCAATGTATGGGTGCCCATTTCTTACACTTAAAGAACTTTAATGGAATCCCTGGTTATTCTGATTATTTTTTGCTTTGGGGATAATTGAAATTCAGTTTGCAAAGCCATTTAAGAAGTATTACTAATGTAAGATATATACTGCAAGAACTCATAGCTCAGGGACTCAGATTCAGCGACTAACTAAAATACTGATTTATTTATAGCTCACCGGCTGCCAAACATTATCTGATGAAAATCCTTTTTTAAAAAAAAAAAAAAAAAAAAAAAAAAAAAAAAAAAAAAAAAAAAAAAAAAAAAAAAAAAAAAAAAAAAAAAAAAAAAAAAAAAAAAAAAAAAAAAAAAAAAAAAAAAAAAAAAAAAAAAAAAAAAAAAAAAAAAAAAAAAAAAAAAAAAAAAAAAAAAAAAAAAAAAAAAAAAAAAAAAAAAAAAAAAAAAAAAAAAAAAAAAAAAAAAAAAAAAAAAAAAAAAAAAAAAATTTAAAAAGTGGATGTACCCTTGTCTTTAAGAAACACCAATACTTCAGAGCACATAGCTCTATTCTATCAGTTCCATTTTCTTTTGCTCCAGCCAGTTTATGCAGCTCTTTCTCACTTAGAAGGAGAGGGCTCGCTTGATGATCAAAAGGCTCGCCTATTCCCTGCCTGAGGACAAGAAGTAACCTTGCGTGGAGAGTTCAGGCACCTTTCACCACCGGGATGCACACCTACTGCACATTTCTAACTGTGGGAGGAAACACCCATAGCACACAGGTTTTCAAATCACAGGCTACATTAGAAGGGGGAACCAGCATGATGGGGGACATCAGATACAAAGCAATTCCTTACTGCAGACTATGTGTGTTTACTGAAGAGGAACACTCCAAATAGTTCATGTTACAGCTTACCGTGTCGCATGCTGTGGTAGCTTGACTATCCAAATACTCCTTTTTAATTAATCCTTAAGGCAACATTTACAGCATTTAAGTTTCAGCTACTCAGCAAAGCAACAAAGGCAATAGGATGTTATGACTAGAGAAACACGTTGTGTGTGTTAATTTACAGTATCACCCTCCTCATCACTTTGTATCTTGGGGATGTGGTAGGTAATATGTGACAGGTCCCAGGAAAACTAGCGCATTAAAACTTCACTAGGAGGAATGCTTCCATGAAGCAAAGCCACTTTACAAAAAATCAGTGCAACACTTCAAAACTCACTCTCCATGGAAGATTAATTTTGTTACAGACTAGTTTACTGTAAGCCACACATTTCCTCTAAAAGACATGCTACTCCACTCTGCTACTGTCACCACGCTATCAGGCATTGCTCTGAAATTAATCAGGAAAGATATTCAGAGTTATAAACAACTAGATGGAACAATCACAAAGAGAAAGCAGCAATACGCCACTGAAAAAATAGAAGACAATTACTTTATATCTGCAAAAAGCAGGGGAAAAAGTCTTGTCTTGGTCAACTACAGTCACAGGGGTTGGACAGGCCTTTAGCATTTGAGCCTTGCTCAGCCATGACTAGTCAGGAATTCATGATGGCTAGACACGCTGGGTACGTGTAATCCTTCTAGCACTTCACCATGCTAAAGACTCTGCAGTGCCTGGTAATCTACAGTCCAACAAATATGTTCAAATCCAATCTCTGGATAGCCCTGCAGCCTTACAGCAACACAACACCAAAATACTGCTGAATAGAGAGAAACTAAACTACTTGAATGCTGCAGTAAGATTTTAGGGTCTCCTGATTTTAATAACCAAAGGAGATGCGGCACTAGCATCAACAACCCAGTCTTTTTCACAATACCCTTGCCAATGTGCATTATGCCCAACCTACAAAAAATTTAGCATCATCAGGTGAGTCCAAAGTATACTTCTATTGTAAAACACGTGCATCTGCATAGAAATCACTTTGGTTTTGTAATTTCTCATCTGGTTCATCCCTTCTTTGTCTTAAGCATTGCCCAGAAGGTCCAATTAATACCATAAGAAACTGTCTCACGAGGTACAGTGACCTCTTTGTACAAAAAAGACCTTGAAGAACAGAAAAATTAAACAGTTTAGGGACAAAGAAAAATAGAGGAGCTCACCACCGGACTGGCCCGAGCAGAGCTGGCTCTTGAGGATGCCCGAGATCCTGAACCAAGGTAGCAGCTGTACTCAGAAGGCTGCCGCAGGTAAACCAAGAATAGCAAGCAGAGAAAAGAGAAAAGCATTAGAATTGGGAAGGGAAGCGAGAGAGGACTTAGAGCATTACATCCGAGGTTAGTTACAAAAATGGTTACATGCAGCTGAACAAAGGAATAGCAGTGAAAGTCAGAGAACAGACACCCCAACTGTTCATTTAAAAATTAAGGCAAGCAGTAATTCCAGTTGACGGACCAGGTACAGTTTTGATCCAATTCTTAGAATAACAGAATACTAATGATTTTTTTATATAATCTTAAGATACCAGTCACAAGTAAACAACTCAGTCTCTATACAAAAGGCTCAATCATACTACTCTTCAAGAGCTCCAAGGTTCTCTAGGGAGCCTTCTTCCCATGTTTCCAACATCGTGCACATATAAAAAGAATCCACGCTCCACAGGCCAAAGCAAGAAACATCCATCTACGTGGTGATTAAAGTAAAAACTGAGACCATCTCAGAAACTGAGTCTCTCTCCTGCTTTTCCAGCACCTGCAGTCCTCATCTCCTGCCAAAGAAAGTATGTTAGTCCTTCTTAAAAGCAAACATCTAAGCAGCGATGCAGAACAGACAGGGCTGACTTGTTGCTGACAAGGACAAAGAATGTGTCTACGCTGTTTAATTTCCAGAGGTTATAATGCAGTGGAAGTAGAGAAGGGAAATGAAAGTTTAAAGCGTCAGGAAAACAGAACTAAAACTTATTCTGAAAATGTATTTTAGAATTATTCCCTCTATTTTCAGATTTCAGAGTAGCAGCTTCACACTCAATCTAGTATTTAGATGAACTTTATAGAAACATACATAAGCATACATATAAGGGAGGTTTTGATACATTCAGAACAGAGATGAATTAAAGAAGTTTTTGGGTTTACCAGACAGGATACTTTTCCTCTTGCTACCACCTCAAGGCAATTGTGAACATAGCCTTTGTAAAGAGGCATGTCAGTCCGTCATAATTTCACGTGCAAAAGCTTGTACCGACACAAGGGCAGAGGCAGTTCAGGGACAGGAACAAGCACAAGCAACTGCTCTTCTCAGCAGCTCAGACTATGCTGCTAATAACCTTTATGAGTTTATTTTATAGGCGCTTAAGACTGTTTCTCAGATACAAAACTACCGAAATATAAAGAATTATCCTACTTTTGAGATGCACGTACTCTGTCTTTTTCTTTTAAGGCTTCTTCTGTTAGGTTACCTGGCCACTACAGGAATCCCCTGGACCCCTCAGCTACAGAAGCAGCCAAGTCTTCACCAAGCTATTGGAGGACTGTTTCAGCATCATTAATCACGCTAACAAAGCGTCACAGTATTAAATGAAAATTAAGCTTACAGTACTAATTAAATGATAAGAGGGTAAGCTGGAAATAACCCCAGCTACAGTACAACCATAAGCTTAGTTACTAACCACAAAGAATTACGTTCCAAGGTACACAGCCCTTAGCAAGCCCCTGAAGCAGCGCAGAATGTGACCAAGCTGTGTCCTCAGACGTCTTAACATGAAGCAACACTGGCTTCACACACCTGAACTACTGAGCTTCATTTCAGAGATGAGAATACACAAGATTTAGAACTGTGTTGAAAATACTTGTAAACTATGCACAATCACAGCCACTTCAATTCCTAAATTAAAACCAGAAAGCACTCTAGTAAATATTTAGATTTTGTTTTCTTATTAAGTAGTTCTAGCACAGAAGCCTTGCGCCATCACTGGCACTTTATGTTTAACATAACAAGGATGTAGAATAAACTTGAAACACATGACAAGGAAGTAGTATTAACTACTGATGAATCCCATATTAATGTCTTACAGGACCTATTTATTCCATAGTTGCTCCCTATGTATTGCAGGGCAGAAAATGGAAGCAAGTGCCACTTGTTTAGCTGAGACCAAGCACAGCCAGTTTCAGGCTCATCCCCTGCATTCACCTGTCCTCTGATCATCCAAAAACTGTCTTTGGGGACAGCTACCCAAATGGCACACCTTCTACATGTTAAAAGTGCTATGATTCAGACATTGATCATCCAAAAACTGTCTTTGGGGACAGCTACCCAAATGGCACACCTTCTACATGTTAAAAGTGCTATGAGGTTCAGACACATTAAAATAACCACAGATAACTGTAACTGTGACAAGGCCATTCCCTTTGAGGCAAAAACCTCATATTTCAACACTCTCATTACTGCAGGCGACCGTGCAACAGAAACTGGGAAGGCTGGGTTATACACAGGCTTCCAAATACCTGTGGCACAGGGTGGGATGGGGTGGAGGAAGGGGAACAAGCACCAGCATTTTATTCAGTGTTCCCTGCTCAAGCCATTAACAGTGGCTGAAAGACTTGTAAACAGTGTTTGGGCTCGGAGCCCACTGTAAATTGTTTCTCCCAAGAGTACAATTGTATCACCTGGACCTTTGAGAGACTTATCTCAAAGAAAGAATGACATCCAGTACAAACAAAGGGCTACAACCAGCTCAGCGCAGCCTCAGTGGCAAATTCACTGAATTACAGTTCAAATGGATAAGTATCAATGAATTTTCCAAGGCAGCCAAATGAAAATAAGGCACAAATGTGAAACAAAAAGTAATCTGAAGCTTAACGTCAGTAGCAGCAAGATGCACAGCCCAATTAGTGAATCAGTGTGATTGGAAGAGGATGGCATAGCCCTTTAAAGACTAACAAGTGTTTAGTAAGCATTCTTGAAAGTTTGTTTCCTTCTCCAAGCTAATAAAATTGTAACTTTTAACATTAATTTAATGTTGATGCTTTGTCTTGAGGCTTTTTTCTGTTCAGGTCTTGGGTAGTGTTTTTTTGTTTGTTGGGGGTCATTTTTGTTTCATTGGTTGTTTTTTCTTGATAATCAGTGAAGGAGTTCAGAGGCAGAATAAGCACTGCGTCCACAGAGCAGAATTTAAAAATCAGAAAAGACTGGTTTATTTTTTCCAGGCAGATACAACAGCAGCAGCAGATGTACTGCCCGGCCCAAACACCCAACATGACACAGAGGCCCCATCTCAGAAGAGGTGAAGGCATTTTCTGCCTTCCAATCTGTAAATCGAGTCCTGCAGCCTCTCTTTTTTGAAAGGAAACAATTTATATTGTCATTCCTCATATTGTCTCTCCCCATAAATGACAGAGCCCTCCACTCACAGAAGCACGTATTTCGAAAACGTTGTCACAAGTTGCCTGAGACATCACTACAGAATATAAATCCAACAAACAAAACCAAGCAAGCCATACGTTCACAACAATCCTCTACTTCATGCTAGCAGGTAAGTGCTAATGGGGAAGTGATTTTATTTGTTTATTTAAAAAAAACTGGTTTATTCTCAGTTTTCAAAAGAACAATTAAGTCTAAGGAGGGAAGGGACTTTATGTGCTGTCTTTCCAAGGTGTTTTATCTGCAACCAAGTACAAAGCAGAGCTGAATTCCTCTCGCTGCAGGGGAGGCGAGTGCCTAGCGCTGGGCTCTGTCGATGCTAGCCAGAGCAGCTCTGCACGAGGCCAGGCATTACAACAGCAGATAAATCACTACTTATTATTTCACAGAAGCTCACGGAAACAGTGCTCGTGCTTTTGCCTACAGCAGCAGGCTATGAATCTCACACAGTCCATCTTAAACGTTCCTCAGCCCAGAAAAGGCTGTGTTCTGGTACACATGGGTTACTGGAGGACAGAGACAAGACAACAGGGAAATGCAGAAAACATCTTACAGCACGAGAACTAGAGGCACTATACCGACGACTCCCACTGCAAACGCTGTCGTCATACACAGACGCCTACAATTAAAAGACAGGGTCAGAACAGGACTGGCAGACCTAGTTTCTGATTCAGTCTGGAGCATTACAAATTCACAAGGTGCAGCACAAAAGACGTAGGGGAATGAGTAGTATGTGCAAGGACAGGGACATCTCCTGTACACAACCACAAGCAACATGCAAGTGAAGATCTAACACAACCTGAAGTCAGTGAGCTGGGAAACGCTACAAGGCACGTGCAAAATCTGACATCCACCCCCCAGTCCATCACACGGTCATGCATTTCTAACCGTCCTCCCAGTCATCAATTCAACAGTTCATGTTGCTTTCCAACAAAACGGCTACATCAATTCTTAAGGTGTTCAAATCTATTTAACTTTCATTTCTGGTGCTGGCAAAATATGGGGGGGGGAACCCCACACTTACACCTGATGAATTTCACTTACTAGCCAGTTTACCAAATTAATAAAAAAGGCGGAAGATGCATATTCTAAGACTCTGGCTCCAGTTTAGCATATAAATGTCTGGCTCAGGAAACACAGGAAACTACCTTTAAGCATTTAGAATAAAATCCGAGAGAAGCTGATTTTAAAAGGTTAAACAAGAAGAGTGGAAATTGGCTACAAAAATTTTTTAAACAGAGTTTTGTTAGCTGTTATGCAACCAGAAAGAATTGATGTTGCCTCTCTCTGGCCTGCTCCTGCACGTTGTAGCTAATACACCAAAATGATGACAACCACCTCCATCCAGAGAGAAGCCTGTGGCAGCATCACAACCCCAGGAGCAGTGGTTGTGCAGTTCCAATGGGAATAAAAGGAAGGATCAGCAAATCCCGGTCTGCACAAACAGCATTGCACACGTGCATTCAGATGGATCAAACACCAGAGTGTGAAATAAATGGACCCAACAGGAACTACAGAGGTAAGAGACAACATATGTGTGGCTGAAGGTGAGTGGCTTCGGTATTTGTGTTTAGAGCATTAGTACAACAAACCCTGTAACTTCTGGCCGGCAGGGCATCACTGTACAGCAAGGAGGGCTGAGGAAGACAAGCACAAAACTTTTTTGCATAGAAAATGAAACAAAAAAAGGCGCCTACAGCAGAATTAACCATCCTGATAAGAGATTAAGATTATTAAACTACAACAGAAGGAAACCCAGTATAGAGAATATTAGTCATCTGCGCCATAAAAACATTAGATCTCAACTCCCAAAACTAAGAATACCAAGCAGACACATGCATTTCCTACAGGAAGGGAGGACATGACAGTATGCAAAAGCAAAACAGCGTAATTTAATTTTAGGTTGTTAAGTTGTTATTGTCTCACACACATTTGTGTATAGCAGCCAGAAAGGGTGTTTCTCCTCACTTCAACCAAAGCCAGAAAAAGAGCTACATACAAAGACAGAAGTGTTTTAAGATATACATTTTAAGTGTTTCACACAGCTGTAAGATCATCTTTTGTGTATTTTAAACAAAAATGCAGAGAAAATCCAAATAATTCAGGACAAGATTATGAGTACTTAAGTCAGAGCACCATAAAAAAAATGGCTTCGCTGTTAGTAACCACCATTCACAAGATGCACCAATTAAGTTCAGAGAGCACATACTGTATCTGGCATAATTAGGTGCAAGAGATACTCCAGCAGTGGTCCCCAGCCCACAGCTTGCAGACAATGTGCTGCTGCAAGTCACCCTGCTCATCTGCAGTGCCCCCATCGCCAGCCACCACAAGGCACCAGGCAACGTCCTCGTGCTGCTGCCCATCGGGCAGGACAGGCTGTGGACCACTGCTCAAGCACTGCTTTGCTAGCGCCGGACTGGCTGAGCTCTGTCCACACGCAGAGGACAATCCAACCTCCCGGGTGATTTTGAAGCTTCAGCGATTTTCTTTTAGCAGTCTGTGAATTACTTGCTTGTAATTTCATTTTATGCAGACTGGATTGTCTTAAGCTTGCTAGACTGACACAGTCAGCAGAGAGTTGCCTCAAATAGAATAGAGAACTTCAGTTAATTAAGATTTCCCTTATTTTTCCAGAGGTCAAAAGCAAACAAAATAACTGTAGGAAAGGGAGGAGCAGCAAAGGAAAACTAATTGTGCTCATTTTAAAACAGCTTTCCATTACTCACTCCAATCTTAAAAGGTCTGTTTTGGTTTTTTAAGTTTTTAGTAAAAAGAGCTACAGAGACTCTTGACAATTGGTCCAAACTCATTCCTAAGTACAAGAGGTTGTATTATCCAAATGCAGTCAGAACAAGTCCAGGCAAGGTAAAGCCAGAGGGTAACAGACCCAGTTTCCATTTTGGGAAGAAGGTTGAGATGTGGAAGCATAGCCGCTGTTGTGAAGACCCAGATCAGAGTAGTACGAAGCCTGCATTAATAACAAACAAGAAAACCCTCTTGATAACTCTGCTTCATAACATGGAGGACTTTCTAAATTCCTTTAAATGGGAAGCAAAAAGTAAATTAGGTGATTACAAATAGCAAGGAGTCAAAGTGGTCACAGATGCAAAAAGAAGAGATCACTACATTAAGGAAACTGCATTAAAGATATGAGGATGTGTGAAAATTATGTGCCCTTTCCATTTGTAAGGTAGAAATTTTTTAAATAAACAAAAGGCCTTTCCTCTATCCCTACAGCATCTCATGCACAAAATACCCATCTGGTTTATCGTCCACTGAAAAGGCTTCAAACCCCCACATTCTCTCCTCCCTTCTCATTGCTATGACAGTATACTGCAAGGACATGTACAGGACTTGGAAGAAGATGGAGCACATTTCCGAAAGCATGTATGCAGTTCATGTACCTAAGTTTCATCCCAGCTCTAGTTAAGTGAAGCTATATTTACCAACATACTTCCAGCTTCTGTAAAACAGAACAGACATCATCTGTTTTACAAGATGCTGGAAATATTAGCTTCCAGGCTCAAACTCAGAATAAATGGCTGCATCACAGCTTCATACCTAAAAAACCAGGCTCCTGCTTCACAGGATTTATTTCTTTGCATGTGCAGTCCCACCGCTGCAGACAGAGTGGATTGCCACTGCCCATCAAGCACTGGAAAAACATATTGGTCAGAGTAAGTCAGCTTCCTTCCGAATTCTTGAGGAGTTTATGCCCTGTAAGTTAAACCCACAAGAGATGCAGGAGAAGGTGTCAGGACAACTCTGCTGGGAGACAGAGAGCAAAGCCAGCGACCAAAAACTGCTGGGTGTGCCCATCAGGAAAAGTGAGCAGCCCAGTGTCAGACATGGCAAGACCGAATGCAAAGAAAACTTTTCTGTAAGAAGTGAGACTGTCTAGATTAAACACCTTCTTTTATGCAACTTCCTACCTAGCATCTAGCCAGCCTTGCACTTTTGGTCCACCTATTTGGCCTCCCCAAGAATGGGAAGATCTTAATTCAACTCCGCGTTAAATACCAAAAGTACCAATAGTGACTGACGGACAACTCCAGTGGACTTAAAGTCACCCTTACCCTCCAAAATACTACCTTATTTATCTGGTGTGCTATACAACATCCCCATTCACTCCCCCCAGCAGCTGTATTGGAGTGTAGGATGCCAGCTCAGTTCTTCTGCTGTTGTGTATTATCTGTGAGAATTTCCGCTGCACATACACTTCAACACAAAGCTGGCACATAGGGCTTGCCAGGGTGCAGGAAGGCTGACAGCAGTACGATATTTATAATACTGAGTGAAACTCAGTATCTTGGCTTCCCAAAAGCTTTAGGAGCATGCAACAATATATTATGAACAACTTAAGTTGTTCAGCTGTAACAATATATTATGAACAACTTAAGTTGTTATGAACAGCTGGTTTTAACATGGAGGGATATTTAAATTTGCAAATCAAGGTCTGTTTTCAATGCAGATTGGAAATCCATATATAAGACATTATGCATCTCACAGAGCCAAAGGAATCAAGAAAAATACAGGCATACTAGGAAGACTGTATTTTCCTTATTTTCAGAAAAATGGCAGTCTAAAAGCACATCTAAAATGTGATAAAATAGTTACTCTGCCATGCCAGGGAGAGATGCAGCCCCAAGCCAAGCGGGCAGGGTATAAAGCCACACCAGGAAGGCACGCTTACGAGTGAGCACAGGCCACCGCAGCCAGCATGCAGGGGCGAGGGAGGAAACGCTACCTCCCTGCATCCCCACCCTCATGAAATGACTTCTGTGCTCGCTCAGTCTCCTGTAACTAGCCCTGCAACAATACATGAGTTGCAAAGGTTTTTTCAAAGCCTCCTAGGCACTGTTTAGATTCCTTGTGTTCCCATGGGCACGTGCACGCTGGTGGGAATGTTTTTTCTGAAAGAGCTCCACACCTCTACCTTCTTCGCTATACTCCAGAGCTCTCCTTTTACAGCTGTTCTCTAACATCCTGCTTCTCCAATCGTTTCTTTCAGGGGTCTAGACAACCAAAATACTCTGCTTTTAGTAGTCAGCAATTACTCAGCTTTCTTACAAGCCCTAACTAATCCTTGAATCATCGCTATAAATTATGTAGGTGTTAACTCCATTTACAAATGAGGGAGATCTGCAGCAAATTAAAGAAACTTGTTTGTTCTTGACACTGGACTTCTGTCACTGCAGGCAAACGGATCTGTGGATAAGACACAACACCCACAGGTATATACTGAGGATAAATCATTGTCCAGCTGCAAAAATTTAGATCCCTTTCTGCCTCATTCTTCCTGAATGCCTGTAAAATAAGAATTTCACTGAAAAGAAATCTGAATAAACTGAACTGAGCTTAATTATTAACTCCATTGTGTGTATGTGGGTCACAGTGTTCCCTTCTGTTCCAGCACAAGTGTTTTGTGTCAATTATAGGAATTCATTCTCCTGCTTTGTTAAATATTGGGGTTTTTGCATATTATTTAAAGGTATTGTCTCAAGCAGAGCCTATTTCCAGAGCTTACTTTCATTCCCACCTAGGGAGTTTGTAATCTGCACATGGACTAGGCACATGGCATTGTTAATTTTTAAGGAATCAACCCGTGATATTGCAAGTACAGTGTATAAAGGCTGATCTCCATGCAGACATCACTCCATTTTGTGACTTAAAATTGGACACCTATTTTGGAAAAAACTATTTTATCAGCAGACTCATCACTTCCTCCCTCCCTGACCTGAAGAACTCTGCCTCTTCTCTCTTTTTCGTCGTCGCAATCTTTACAGTTAGGTTTGGGGTTTTTGCAGAGAATATTCCTAAAGGTGAATGCCAGCTGGACTGGCATCAACTGGTTTTGGAGTTTCAGCTATTCCAAGTCACCCCCAAACTCTCATCCCCCTTCTAAATAATGATTAATCTGAATGACACTTAGTAATGAAAACAGCAAGGAACTAATGATGTTGCCATAATTATGCTCTACATACATTAAACCTCCATGCTACAAACCCTAATACCAAGAGGATTTTAAATTATTTAAATGGAAGCCAAACTACTTCTTTTCCCTGGATGACTTTCTTACAGATATTTTGCTCTTCCTGCAGTACTTGGAGCTCTGGATTATGTCATTAAAGAATAAGAACATCATTTGTCAGAAGTACTACATAATAAAGTTTCTTGAACTTGTCAAGCAGTTCAGCAAGAGTGCCAACAACAGGACATAATGTTTTCTTAACAGTTTAAGCGACAGTATTTCATTTTCTCTTATCCACATATACAAGCTAAATGCATAAAAACATATGGAAGCAACAATTAAAAATGGACATGAAATATAAGGCCCCGTTTCACTATTTATACAAGCGCCTGCTTAACTTCATGCTTACAAAGTAACTCACTAAAGTCTATCTCATGTTTAGCATGTATTGGTCAAACACTTAGCTAAATGGAGTCTTAAAAGTAGTTTATTTTTCCCCTAAACATAGAGCTTTAGTCTGCATACCACTAAATTTCTTTAGCAGTCTTGATAGCATAAAGTGCAACAGGCTCTGAGCTTTTGTCTGCCTTTGTTAAAATAAAGGCAAGGAAAAAAACCCCAAACAGTTCCCCTCCCTGCCGCACAAAGAGGCTCTGCTTGAGACAATACCTTTAAATAGGATCAACAGGCTCTGAGCTTTTGTTTGCCTTTGTTAAAATAAAGGCAAGGAAAAAAACCCCAAACAGTTCCCCTCCTGCCGCACAAAAGAGGCTCTGCTTGAGACAATACCTTTAAATAATTTGCAAAACCCCCAATATTTAACAAAGCAGGACAATTAATTCTTATAATTGACACAAAACACTTGTGCTGGAACAGAAGGGAACACTGTGACCCACATACACACAATGGAGTTAATAATTAAGCTTTTTTTGACAAGAATATTTCTAGAAATAAAGGTACATCAATGGTAAGTAGCTAAGTAGTAACACTTGCATTGGCTGGTCACCTCTGTGGGAGTTTCCAGAAACCCTAGGATACAGTTTATAAAGGAAAAAAAAAGCATTTAGTTAAGCAAACTTAAAATAAACAACATACGTTTGGGGAAAATTCAAAATCCAAAGTCTGTTTTACATATGCAAATCTCAAGACACAGACTAAATTCTAGGTGAAGCTTGGGAGTTTCAGTGTTAGAGCATGACGTGAACACATTGCATAGGTTGGAAAACAATCGTTCCGTTGTCCAGCACATGGAAATCCTCCATGCCAGGTGCTGCCAAACTATTTCTTGTCACGATTTAACTTTTACCCAATTTTGTTTACAAGTTAAGCAATTCTGGCTTCCAAGTTCTACTTACAACAAATTCAGAGACTTCCCTTCCCACTCATGGCCTAATTTTTTTTTGGACAGCTTATTGCTGCACCTCCGCGTCTGACAAACTGCAAAACCCACAATGTGCAAGACAAGAAAAACCTGCTTTACCACAGAAAAGAATTTGCTAATTAGCTTTAATCCCATTAAATAGAGCAATAGATTTTAGAGCAATATAAATCATCTACTAACCCTGCTAGATTTTCTACTCTGGGATGATCCATACATGTCTTCCTCATAACCATTGGTCTGTTACGGAAGGAAAGGAAAAAGAAAAAAAAGGAGAGAAAAAAAATTGATGCAGACCCAAAAGGGAATTTTTAGAAAAGTCATCACTTATGAAAAACAAAGGCAGAGACAGAACTTTTCAAAGATACACCAGTTGCAGGAGAAGTGCAGGATTAGGTCATGATTTCAAACATGAAGACATGAACATTTGTGTGTCTGTCAGTACCTGTATACCAGCCAAAAATGTCAAGGATACTCCTGCTTGCCTTTTTTGACCCCTTTTTCCTTTTTTTTCTTGTTAAGAAACACTTTTGCTTCCCCTATTATTACTGCATTATAGCATCTGTCTCTTCAAACGCTCTGTGAAGGGCACACCAGACAAAAAGGGGACACTAGAGATGAGAGACTACAATAAAAGAAATTTATCACTCTAGTTGCTTATACCTCTGGCAGCTAATCACATAAAAAGCAGCAAATTGTAGCAAAAGAATTAATTCTAGGTTGATATTTGAGAAATTCAGTTTAGTAAACATGCAATGCTGTATGAAAGCTCTTCTTTTTACCTTTCCCCAGTTACATCAAAATTAAACTCAGACAGTGACCAAGTGCCACATCCCAGTATTTTGTGTGCAGGCCAAAGACTACTAAGAGGTATCAGTCAGTTCAGCTGCCCTCCGTCATGCTCAATAGCCTGTCTTGTTGTCATTAAGATGTTTTCTCTCAAAGGAGAAAAAACAAACAGGCTCAGAATGAGCATTTCACAAGCAGGATGAGATGCTTCAAGTCCCTACGGCAGCAGAACCAGGAATAAAATAAAGCAATCACTACGATGCAGTTTTTAGTCTGGAAACATGATGTTGAAGAAAAGAGGATAGACCCAAAAGCCACCTCAATTGATACCATTAGGAGCTCAGATTTCTCAAGCAATTCACTATTCTGGCATCACTTCACAACGAGGCCTGGTTTAACATCGAAAATGAGGAAGCACTCTGTGTGTTTGGGGTGGGTTTTTTTAGTGGCAATTTAATTAGAATTTCTATTCAAATTAAGTTTTGAAGTCCAAGTTTTAATGCATTCCCAAAATGAAAATCCACTAAACCCAATCTGAATCAATTTCCAAGCAAAATATTTATCATATACTATACAGTGGCTTCCATGAAAAATTAAACAAATCAACTTGGAAACCAGTTTAGACCCAAGCTGGTAAAGCAACTTCTGGGAAAAGCTTAGATTCTCTACTGAAATGCAATATTATCACCACGATGAAGGGCCAACATCCAGTTTCTTTTTTCAAGAAGAACAGATTTGAAATATTGCTATAGCCTTCTCACACAGCTTGGCTTCTTTCCAGTTTTTACTTTTTTTTTTCCCAGGCTCCTTGAATTTCTCTAATACTTTCCTGAAGAATGGTTAAAATGAATCTTCAACAACTGAAGCCTCAACAGCTGCAGCCTCAACAGCACTGTGCAGACCAACTACCTCCACTGCCCCTTTCATTACTACACTGAGGAATTAAGTTTGCCTTTTTTCAGCAATGTAATATTGACCAAATGTAACCTCAGATCATTATCTGAACCATTCCTATGCAAAATTCCTTACTTGGCAATAGTGTATTTCATTTTTCCCAAACGCGGCATTCCTTATTTTTTACTATTACTCAGTTTTGACAAGTTGTCTCCTATTCATCATCAGTGTTTTTATTCTAACCTCGCATGAAACCACCTTCATTCCCTGTACTTAGACAGCTAGGCAAGCTGTAGCTCCTGTAGAACTGTTTTTCCCTTTAAAAACAGATGATGCTGTCTTAGATGGGAATAGACCAGATGAGATCCTTTCCAGCTGTCTCATTTTCTAACAGAGTTATTTTTCAACTAACTGGGCATTTCTTTTACAAGAACCAGATCTTGCCCAAGGTTTCACTTAATGGCATGTTTCTACATGACAAGAGCCTTATAGTCAAGTTATAGTCACATCTAATGCTTTTCCTTTATGCCCTGAAATAATTACTCTGCTTAAGGAAATTAAGTTGAATTGACATGATTAATTTTCCACAAATCCAGGTTAACTGTTTTTCACCTTATATTTGAGGCACTTCTAAAGATATTTAATTTGCCCTGTACCTTTCAGATTTCAAACTGAAGCCCCATAGCTCAGGTCATTTCCCTTGTCACTATGACCCATCCTCTCCAGAGACTTCTCCAGCATGTATTTTTGAAGGCAAATGCTCCAGACAGCTCCTGAAGAGCAGGATCAGTTTTATCAGACCTTGCTGACCTTTGTTCTACGCTACGTTAACACGCTAAGCATTCGATCATAAAGTTCATTAAAACCGTAACAAATAAAATTGCATACTGGGGAGGCTGAAATACTCAGATTTTACATGTTCTCCCTTCATAACTATGTATGCAATTGACCCTATTCTTTTCTGTGTTTTCCTCTTGCTTTTAACGGATGCAGAAAACTCTCTCATTTCCATTATGTCCATTTATACTTGTAACACCTTTTACCTTAGACTGTGGTTAATACTGCTCCTTCAGGCTTCTTTCTCAATCCCACATCCAACTTCCACTTCTCAGAAAGTTCTCTACCGATTTCCAATGTACTGAAGAACCCCAACCCAGCCTGGCAACCTCTTTCTGTGATGAGTAGCCTTTCCTCCGCAACAGCAACGGACCACTCTGCCTGCCCTTGCATACTCTTTCACTCCCTGGAATTGCTCCCCATGAGATTCAGCTAAAATCCTGACTGTGTGAAAGCACATTATTCTTTACCTTCAATCCAGGTTTGGCTTTGCAGTGCTCTAAGTAGTGCCCTATTTGTACAGGTGCTAGTAAGGCATTGATACTACGCAGAACTACCTTTATGAAAAGATGCAGCCTTTACTACATACATATTCTATCAGTATTACCTATTTCTGTGTAATATTAAAGCTCAAGTCAGGTTTTGAGTTTTTCAAGATGCTTTTTATGTACAACACCAACGTAAGCGTTTGGATTATACCACATTTTGCAGATGAAGTGATGCTCAGTATTCTTGTAGACCCAACAAGTCCTGATAGTTACACCGTATCCTTGACATTAGGCTGGTGAGCTCTTGCAGCCATCATACTTGCACATATTCTCTTGTCCTCTCACAATGGTTTTGTATGCAAAAGCCTCTTTGAGACAGTTACTCAAGATACATACTGCTTTGGAGTAGTTCTTCTTTTTGGTCCTCTCATTCTCTAATCCAGCCTGCAGTGAGATTAAGAATGCAGGATGAAAAGATCAATGAGTTTATGTGCACCCGTCCATAGCCAGGCATGCATATCAACATGCAAAAGCATCAGTCCAATTTTCCTCCAGCTCTACACAACATGGCTCAGCAAGCACACATGAAAAAAATCAAATCTCAAAGTCAAATGACCAGTTATTAAAGAATATTGTTAAAAGTGATGATAGCACTGTTAAATTTAGTAGCCACAGTTGAAAATCATTCACGCTTGCTGGGTTAAGTCAATTAAAAGAGCTACCAGCTGTCTATACTTACTACGTCAATACGTCCATGCAAAATCCAAATGTGTTTGAACCATTTCTGTATATAGGTCACTCACAAATAGATACATTGCAATTCTAATTTGAAATAGCGCAGGGCACGAAGGAGAGTGAAAAAGCTAGAGAGTCTATAAAACTGCTCTCCGCAGTTTGCTTTCTGCAGAAACTGAGACACCTCTATTTCAACACAGCGCTGCCACAAGACAGCACTAACTCTCCCTCCCGTGCCCTTTCTGTTCTTCCAAGAGTCAGCTTTATCTCAATGTGTTCAATGCAAATACCTGCTCTCATCTTATTATTACCTACAGAGTTTGGTTTTATCCCCCAAAGCAAAGGTAACAGCTCGATACACAAGCTGCAGCTTTGGTAGGCAGTGTATTTGTCCTGTCACCTTTGCTAGATATATTCAGAGTGAGTTTGTGAGAGTTTCCAGATTTATGCTGAAATAAAACCAGACGTACCTGGTCAAATGATGGACAGACTGTAATAGAGAAAGTCTGTTAGGGGAAATAAAAGCTATTCTGCTCTGTCCTACGGTAACTACTGAACTAGACCTAGCTTAGATCTCTCTAATCATTCAGCACTTTTCATCTGAACTGCGTCAGAGTAGTAGGCGAGGAAAGTAGCATCTTTACATCACAGACCACGAACTGCCTCAGGATCATTTTAGATTGTCCCTTATCTCAGATCAGCTACCACAATTGATGTTAGTTTCTTCTTCATGATTAGTTTTTAACACACACTGCAACTTGCAGACTATTCTCACCACTGGGTAGGTGCTGGCATATTCCAAATGAGACTGTAAAGGCATGAGAGGAAAGAAAAATCAGAATACAAAGGGAAACACTAAAGCAAGTTATGGCAATCAAAAGAATCCCCCAAAACAAACCAAACAAACCAACCAACCAACCACAGGCACAGAGATGTAAAACCCAACTAAAGAACTTTGATAATGCGGGACTTCTTGCACAAAGCCAGAAGTCAGGAATTTTGGAGCAAACAAAACAAGGAAAATGCACAAACTCTGTCATGAGTGATTAATAACACAACAATATTTCATGCTGGATGGTCTCAGATTAGAGATAGCCAGCTGAGAAGTGGGAGAACAAGGACACTCGCAGTAGAAAAGAGACTGAAGAGAGGCTCGAGTGTCTCAACAAACGCAGGATGGTGTTACTGAGCTTCCCTAGGAAAAACTGCGTGATAAAGAATCAAGCTTGCAGAACTTAAAACAAGAGAGGCTTGAAAACAAGAAAAGCTAAAGATGCCCCTTTATCGCAGCTGAAGGTCTGCCTGCAGGAGGTGGAGATATAATCAAGCTAGCATTATATCAACACACTACGCCACTGTTTACAGTACAGTCACAGCTGTGGAGCTTAAATTTGCTAGCCTGGTCTAATCAACATCTCGGGTGGTTTTGCAGTCCATGTTGATGGTTGCTCTGCCAGAAGCATCCAGGCCAGCTCCTGAAAAGCTAGCTCAGCAGATCTCTGGTGCCTGCAGTTCAGACACCCACTGAGAAAATACTCCAGGAGAAAATCCAGAGAAAAACCCACACAGATTAGTAGGGTGGTAAAGCTTTAGGTAGAAATAAATTTCTGATATTGGCTTATTTCATTGAAAACTTCCTGTACAGAAAAGAAACATAGCCTCAAAAAGCAACCTGTAACACCATCAGCCCCTCACAGTGCAATGAGTCCAAGTGCCAAAGATGCAAGATCAATTTTCAGAAAATTGATATACAATAGCATCCTGCAACTACGGAAGGAGCCTTCAAATATCAAAAAAAAGAAGAACATTCAGAATTCTCCAGCTACTTTTATAAACCCTTTATGGACACAAGGCAATAGTTTTTGGTGCTTTCTTCACGCTAAAATAGCTGAGAAGCCAAACTGAACTCTAGTCCTCAGAGGTAATTTTTTAGGTTGGTTGTGGTTTGTTTTTTTTACTTTTTTGTTTTGAAGACATGCACAGCAAGAACCAAACCTTCACAAATAGCCAGAGAGAGATGTGGTCAAACTATTAAAAGCATCTCCTGTAAACCCACACTAGGAAAGTGATCAATGTATGTTCTATCAATTCATTGTGAATAAAACAACTAAAAGATATATAAGGGTAAATTTCAGTTCAGACTAGCGAACATTTACTTTCTTCTACAATCCCAGGGACACTTGGATCAGGGAAGGAAGCTCTGTCAAAACTCTTTTGCTGTGCATGCCCATGTGTCAGCTTGCATAAGAATATTCACCAAATGCTACTTTACGAGGACAGGGGGGAGTCTGTGCAACATCACTAGAAACACCACGGTGAAAAGTTTCAACTAGATCCTTCTGTCAGAAAAGGACATTCTTTGCCCAAGTATTAGGTATTTATGGGCCATCCCGTGAACCAGCTGGAGACCGCTGTGAATCAGCAGTGGTTATCCCAGCCTGGAGGCATGCTGGCAGCCCAGAGACTGGCTGCTCCGGGAAAAAAAAGGTCAGAAAAGCTTCTTCTCAAGGGATGGTGGGGAAACAGAATGCAAGGCTTCTGCTGTTTAAATATATAACAATAAAACACAGGATCGTATTACAAAAACACATCAAAAGGAATCAGTAGTGCACTTCCATGAACAAAAGGTGTTTCAGATGAACAGGGCTCCCACTATAAATAGAGTGCCAGTGTACTCGCATCTTGCCATATCAAGGGACACACAATTATAGCCATGGTGAAACAACCGATTTGTATCATAATCACCTTCTAAATAGAAAGAATTGACATTTCAACTGTTCTAGAGATTTTTCCTCTCCAAAAAACACTTTCATAAACGTGTCCAGATTTAACTCTGAGTAAAATAGATATCGGTTTTCATGTTCAGCTGTGAAGATAAGCTTTTCTTCGTTGAATCTTTGGAGTTGAAGGCATCTTCTAGCTTGGAAAAACAATTGAGTAAGTTTGCAACCTTGAAGATTTTAACAGCATTTCATAAGTAGTAATAAGGATTCCACTAAAAAGGGAACAAGGCAACTCTTAATTTTAAGTACATCTTATGCTATCTTACAGTGAACTCCATCAGGAATCATTGAGCAGGCTCTGCAGTAGTAATCCCCCCCCCCATCTTCCAGAACTCTTCTAGAGGTATATGAGGTATATCACTCAATCCTGTTCTTTGGGGGACACTTTACCAGGAAAAAAAGTAGTTCTAGCCTAGATTATTAGCAAGTTTTTTAAGGAGGAAAAAAAAATAATTTTATGACAGGAAGTCTCCAAAGAAGTGAGAAACCAAGGATTACAAATAACGATCTTGCTATGAATGATACAGGTCTTGCTTGTTCTACAAAAATACAACTGATCATCCAGCTTAACCACATAACTAGTACTACCAATAAGTTGGGAACAACATTAGTAGAATGAATTTTTCTCAAACACAACCGTTTTGGGCACAAATGACTCCATAACATGAATCAGCTGTGACTAGTTTAAGTTCAGGACTGCCAAGAGCTTCCTCCATAGTGCTGTTATGGATTGTTTCAGTTTTGCGGTTAGCTGAATGCTTCTCCATAGGTCTCAAAAGCAGCGAGCTCTGATCATCTTCCAAAGACTATCAACACGTGCTGAGACAACAGCATTAGCCGTTCACAACTACCAAACTGCTTAAACTGTCTTCACAATTACAAGAGCTGATTAAGTCTATGCTAGAACGGAGTTCAGATTTGTACACATGTGTACTATCTGGAAAAATACTATATGGATATTTTGAGGAAAAAGCTGTTTGAACTTTTCCTACAAATGACTACTGGTGCACTACAGCACTCTGTGCTCTACTAATCCCTCTCTCCACAAAACTCAAGCCTGCAGATGAATTTCAAATCTCTCTAAAGCAGTTTTGAGGAGAGCGTTCACCTGCAATTCCAAAGTGCTTAAGGCTTATTCCCACTAATAATTTGCTTTTGGTTTCCTGAGATAATAAACATCGATCATGGACTAAGCTAGCACTTCCTCTTCCCAAATTCTCAGTAACAGTAATGAAACAGAGGAGCTTACAAGGTGCATACAAGAAATAGCTGATAAACCAATGTTTTGCAAGAGTAACAATGAACAGCGTTTACCAGAAAGGTGTCTATAGTCGCATGCTCTGCTAGTGTTCCTGCACAGTGCATACGAATCTGACAATTCCCCTGGTTGAAAGAATTATTGACCTACACGTACTCAGAAAAAAAACCCTATATGACTTGAACATGGAACATGTCAAGACCTTGGAAGGATGGTATTATCAGAGTACTATAACCAGTCTGGTGGTACGAAGTAGACAGCAACATCAGTACACACACATGCACACTTAAATTGTACAATTTACCAACCCTCAGGCTTCCACGGCTACCCACTGACATGCGCTCATCTTCATCCGAAGCCTATCAAAAGAAAGTATAAAGACAAGAAAACAATGAAAAAACCACAAGTAACAGGCAGTGAGGTAAATGCTGATGGCTTTGATATGGAACAGAAGAAGAGACATACAAAATAAATGTCTTTAAAAAAGAATCGCATTAAAACTATAAGCAGAAAGTAAATGAAATTATACCCTGCCCAAGAAACACTGTCAAGCATTTTACTACAGGATGAATGACAAGCTTGCTCGGGTGTTCCCTGCTCTATGCTCTTGGCCCACAGTCTGAATAAACGAACATTAAACACTCCAAGCAGGTTATTTCCCCCCCTTCCACCTCCTGCCCCCCTTTATTCTAGCACATTTGCAAAAGCTCCACGGAGTGACTGGGGAGAGGGCAGAGAAGTCAGAAAGTGGCTTTGGGGTTTTCACTTGCCTGGGGTGGTGGGAGATTGTTTTGTTTTTTCTTTTAAAAAGGAACTGCCTTCCTTATAGATGTCTGTTTTCTTAATCTGAAATGTCTAGCCATAAAGACAAAGCAAAAGTAGATACTAACCGAGGCATTTCTTCGGGCTCTACGGGAATAACGCTCACTGTCTTCCTATCAAGGCAGCAGAGAAAAACAAAGAGCGAGTGCTGAAGTACAGATATACCAACAGAGCGCTTTCAGAAAGACACAGTGAAACCAGCAGTGTTTAGGAGTCAGTAAGGCTAAACCAAATAACAGAAGGTGACACCTTGTCAAGTCAGAAAAACCCTTTTCCCCCTCATTTGTGACCCCAACTTTCTTGCCCTCTGTTTTATTCTGCTACACACTGTCATTACTTTTACAGAAAACTCTACACAGTGACATCTTTATTTGTATCTCACAAAAGTGTTACAAGTGCATCTCTCTGCATCTGGGAATTAGTATACTTACAGTGCTTTTGTAATTAAGCTTTCCAGTTTGCAGTCCTTCAAAAGAAATCTCAAAAATCTTCTATTTGAAATAATGTGGCAGGGCAATGGTCTCTCTCTAGTGAGTATCCCAGAGGGACACAGCCTGGCCCCTTCTTCCAGACCAAAAGCATCTGTGCTCTGCTTACAGCCTCTGCGACACACAGCACCACTGTCTTTTGCAGGCCAAAGCCTGTGTTAATGCTGGAAATGCTGTAGGACGTATTACATTTCAACAAACTGACTTTAACAAACTGATTTTACATGGAATTTAGAAACAGTGATGGAAAACAGGAAAAAAAGTTTCAACATCGTAGTTAATGGTTCTCACAGGTGAACTGATTTCTAAGCAAGGGAATTGCGAGTAAGGTGGAGCTAAGCTCACCAAGCAAGGATTTGAAGAGACTTAATGGCTTATCCATGAGATTGGAGCATCTTGGGCGGATGGTTGGTCCATATGGCAGCAGGCTTTCAAGAAGGCATAGAGCAAACCAGCATTTATGCCGACTAATTATCAAGGGTCAAGGAAGTCAGGGAGTTTGAAACATTATCTTCCACACTGGAAGTCAGCTGTTCGGTTTTGCCTTTTTCAGTGTGCGCTACTCAGCTTGTAGGGCAAGGCCACAAACAACAGTTTACATCTGGCATCACTGGTAAGTTTATGAAATCACTTATGTTTGAAAGACATTCGAAGCCAATGTCTTCCAGCCCTTTAGCAACTTCCTCGTCTTATATTATGGGTGTTAAAACAGTCAGATGTTGCTAATGGCCAAGTCAATATCTGGTATCAACTTCACTGGCTTAGCAAACAGTAAAATCCAGGATGTTGCATTATTGGAAAAAGCAAGCATTGCCATAGTAGCAGTAGTAATGCATCCAAACAGTGCCTCTGGACTAGTAAGTACAAAGGTAACTGAAGAAGCATGGATAAAACTTGCCAAAATTTAACTGAAGACAGATTTGAGAAGACTCAAATTGTAACAAAATCCACAAGAAGTAAAATGAGTACATATATTCCTTGTATCACAAGTTGCTTTAACGGGTCTATATGCTAAGCTAATCTTGAAGTGACAGGGTGGAGACACAGGTGGCTCTAACCAAACCCTTGCCAATTTTAAGCTGATCATAAGCCACATTTCAGGTATTGATGTGGACTGCAAGAATCCTTGTGATAAGAGTGGAATTCACGTTTCCAATACATGAAAATATCTACTTTGTGGGATTTCAAACTCTATGAACTATACAAAACTTCAACACGCAAAAGTCGTTTAGCTACGTTGATCAAGGCCTACCATCCATTGCTCGATGTCTCCCCATTTAGTATCCAGACCATAATATTTCTATAGACAGAAAAGGGAAGAAAAACAGAATTTAGATGAGAAAGGCAAACACAGAACATTTAGACATGCATTGCCACGTTTCGGCCGAGCCACACAGCTACACACACACACAAACGTGCCGGGGAAAAGCTGCGCCGAGTGCCACCAGAGCCCTCTGCAGCACGTGCCCAGGAATAGCTGCCCAGCAAGGGGAAAGGGGTGTTTGGGGTACGGCCAGGGTACTTGACAGCTTCTTCTTTCTCAGCAGTGCAAAAGAACAGTGCTGTGGGGACAGGAGCAAGGAGCGTAATGAGTCTTGAATTCCTGACCTATTTAAGTCAAGTCTCATTACAAAGGATCCGAACACAGAACACTTTCAGGATGAAAAATGCTGTCAAATCATGTTTACCATATAGATTTGTCAAACCAGGAAGAACAGTTGAATACAATACGAGTATCTGTGCATTCTTATTTGCTGTATTCAGAATTCCCCAGAGCTCCTTTTCAGAACTTTTTGCCTACACAACCGTCTTGACAGTGGTAGTATCACCAACAAGGATAAAAGGGACATGCTTCACCAATGCAGGCAAGACTGGAAAGCTCTCTGCGTTTCAGTACCAAATGCCATGCATTTTCTCAGTAGACTGTCTCTTCTGAACCGTTTCTCAGTTCGTAATTTCTTTGCACAACATTGGGAACTTCCCAATGAACTTGCATTTCCACCAGACAGCAAATTGCTCAAAGATCCACAAGTTTAGCAGGACTTTTCTTCCTCCCCAAGCACGCGCTTCAAATCTAGTCTCAGGAAGTTTGCATTTATAATAGTGACCATAACATTCCTGTGTGAAGAAAAATCACCAGCCTAAAGCACAGTAATCAGCAAATGGAAATCCTGCTTAAGGAAGCATAATATGTATTTTAGAAAAATTTAGATTATGTGCTTTGAGGTTCATGTATTTGTGGAAAAAAACAAGCCTGTACTTGCGCTTTCCTAACTGTCTCTTCTGAACCGTTTCTCAGTTCGTAATTTCTTTGCACAACATTGGGAACTTCCCAATGAACTTGCATTTCCACCAGACAGCAAATTGCTCAAAGATCCACAAGTTTAGCAGGACTTTTCTTCCTCCCCAAGCACGCGCTTCAAATCTAGTCTCAGGAAGTTTGCATTTATAATAGTGACCATAACATTGCTGTGTGAAGAAAAATCACCAGCCTAAAGCACAGTAATCAGCAAATGGAAATCCTGCTTAAGGAAGCATAATATGTATTTTAGAAAAATTTAGATTATGTGCTTTGAGGTTCATGTATTTGTGGAAAAAAACAAGCCTGTACTTGCCAGCTTTCCTAAAGGCTTGAGAAGGCAGGAGTATCAACAGCCAAAACCTTAGGTAATGATCAAAAAAAATCAGAAACCTGTTTTGTATTATACTCTATATTTAGCACTCACTCAATGGTATTAATGTAATTTTACTTTCACCCTTAAAAACCTCATTCACTATTTATTAATAAACTAGAATGAACAGCTGTGTGTTCTTTGATACCATATCAGTTTATTCCCACTTCAGAGTTCCTCCTCATTAAAAAACAAAATTATTTTCATGTTAAGGTCATCTTCATTTTCATCTTAACAGCTCTGGAGAGAAGAAAGTCTGTTATGAAGTAGAATAGGCAGTGGGGTGCTCAATTACACATCCTGGATAGCCCAAACTGTACAAGGACCTTTAAATGCTGTCAGTTTGGGGGTCAAATTGGGAAAAGGCAGGAGCTCACAGCAATCCCATTTATTAGGAAAAATATTAGAAAATAAGTTTTTAGGCCAGTAATTTGAAAACAGGAAATAAATTCACTGCTTTGCAGATTTAAATAGTATGCATAAGTCTCTCTGGAACAAGGAAAAGAGGCAACGGTTCAACAAGCTCTTTAACCACATCCCTATGAGAACAGGGAAGTATTCCGCTCTGCTTTCCCTGCAAAGCATCTCAGCGTGTGCTCAAATACCTCTAATACCCCTATACAATGCCTAGCCAAATTGCACACAAGTGAGATTTCTCCCTTAAACTACATAAAATTAGAGTGCAGGACATGAACCATTGTTTCTTCAAGCATTACACACTTCCTCACAAGTGCTCAGACTAGTTACTTCCAGGCAGAAGCACAACACATACAACAGCCTGTTATAAAATTAAGTTTTATGTACATCACATCCTGAAAATGACCCCTGAAAATTATATGAACTCCAGCTGGTCAGGATTGTGTACATGATCAGAACCTACAGATTATATGCTTTGTAATAAATCAGGTCAAGTAAAGCCTTATTAGAGGCTTCCCCCCCCTCCCCCCCCCCAAGAGACGTATAACGTTTTCTAACTAGAGATCAATTTAAAAAAAAAACTATAAAAATGGAGAATCCTCTCTCACACATAGGAAGGATCCATAAACATGCTAATAATTTTTGTAAGGTCTGCTGCTTCCTTTTCCTGCCCTCTGTTCTCCTTACTTTCTGACATAAGCTTATGAATTCAGTTCTGCAAAAGGGAGATAAGGAAATACCCCTTAAAAGATTTGTTACATCACAAGTTAAGTTCCACTTACAGTCTTTTCCTCTACCATTTAAATTACATAGCTACGTGCTTAATATCCCCAAAAGAAAAATGTTAATGAACGTGATTGCCTTGAGACTATTTTTAATTTATAATCTTTTAAACAGCACATCTCACACTGGAATGAACTGGCAGCATTTGAAGTCTCAGGTATTTTGGCCCCTCAGCCACTTCCCATTTCTTTCTCTACCCGGACTCTTCTGTTCTGCCCCGAGGGGCCTGGTTTGAATGGCTGCATGGGTTAAAGGAAGAAGTGGTGCTTATCCATTCACTTGGTTTTCAGTTAGAAGCCTTTGCCAGCCTCAAGTTCCCTTCTACCCTGAAAAGTGATATTACAATTAAATAATTAATGACGTTAATACCATTGAGAGAGAATTCCAGATCAGATTTGCTCACTAAGTGGCGGTGAAACTGCTGACTGGCAAACTCGCTACGGGATGTTGTGAGGCTAACCCACTTATCTTCTCATCCATGTCAGGACACCAACAGTAAACAACCTCCTTGTCTTCCATGGGGCTGCGTTTGTACCAGAAGATTAAATTAGTTCCTATAAAGGAGATTGATAACAAACCTGTTGATCCATGGGCAGATGTTAATTTGAGTCACTCAGTACATAGTCAACTCCACAAATAAAAACAAGAGTAAGATATATTTGTTGCCAAATTGATGGGGTCAGGATTAAATACCAGAGCACATGATTTGAGTAGCTATCTTCATATACATATGCACTTAAAGAGGAGAACAGCATTTCCAAGAAGCACACGCACTGCTAGGTCAAGCAAGTGAAACATGCAGTTACGGCAGCTGGAGTGCCAGAACAACAAACAGGCTGTGGTTTTAGGAGACATTTATCATTCAGCAAGCAATAAAAATATCTCAGGAAAAAAAGAAATATTCAGTAAGGTAGAAAATGGCAGGCTTGAAGAAATATATGCTTTCTCCCTCCCTGCAAAATCTCTTTGGAGCTATTTCTCTTTCTAGGTACCACACAGTTCACATGCTGGAAGTATAGAACAGCCAAACATCATAACACAAACCCCAAAACTCTCCATTGTAACACAGCAAGTGACCTCAGTTAGAGCTATATTATTATCATCATCATCGCCATCATTTGGAATTACGAAAAGGAAACTGGGAGGAGGGAAGAGATCATGAATTTAAACTGAGGTGAGAGGATTAAACAATATAAAAGCATTTATAATGCTTAGGTCACATTGGAAGAAAGGCCATACAGTTTATTTACCAAAAGATTATAAATTCAAACACAGCATCCCTGATTTACTTCAGTGACTTTCTGCAAAGTCATCTGAAAGTCATTCTTCCTGCTGGCACCTGTTAAATGCTTGCCCAGCCTGAAGTATTTTCAGCGATACTCTTGGCCTTCAACACACAAATGTCTTTATGGTACACATGGAGCCACCATACCCTCCTATGATGGCTGGTTTGCCAAATTACTGTTCTGCTTATTGCTTATTCTTGGCCAAACAGTCTGTAGAAAAAAATATATTAAGTGCCTGACCAGACACATTTTACACGAGTCATCTTCCCCCACTCCCCTTTATCATCCACCCCACAAGACTATGGGAAGGAAGGGGGGAATTGCATGGAAATACAAAGCCTGCTGTGCATCTTCCATTCTTTAGAGGTTTTTCTAAAATGCTAGCAAGACTCATAACGTGGGAACACATGCAAACAAGAATGAAAGAGAGCGAGCCCTACCTTCTGAACTTGATAGATCTAGGGAAAAAGGGAAAGGAAAGAAACAAGGAAACAAAAGCTAGCGTGAATGAATAAATAGCAATACAATGTTCCATAACTCATTCTAAAGGGGGGGGGGGGGGGGGAATTA